ATATATATAAAACGACTTGTTTGATATACAAACGTTTAAATAAACTTCAATCTCATTGTTTTATTTGACATTTTTGTTTTTGCATACAGTTGCACAATTTTATAAGATTCTGCAATATACTTGGAGTATATTGCAAAATGTACTTTTTACTTTTGTACTTTGAGTTAAAAAGTTTAAACTTCATTATTTTCTCTTTCCCTTTGTTTTATTTTATTGTTCTGTTCCATATACTAAGCATCTCTGCATGTTTTACCCTTTTCTGGAACAGTTTTTATTTTATTTTAGACAGTGCATATATACAATATTTAATAGGTATGCTGTGCTTTCTTCAACTATTTAAAAGCTACCTTTCTGTTTGGTGTCCTTCTTTGGCAGATGAACTGGTACACCAAGCGGGCTGCACTGACTGGCATTTTTAACACTACAGAGCTAGTAATGCTTCAGGATTCCTCCCCAGACTTTCAGGACACGTGGCAGTTCCTCGATAATCGTATTAAAGATATAGTCAACATGGCCACCACAGCCAAGCAGGTAAAGAAACGTACAGAAAAAGTGTAAACGACTAATGTAGAAGCTGCCAGAGTCAGACCCTTATATGCACCAATTTCCTAGAGCAAAATATTTTGTACTGAGACTGGGACAAATATAAAAATGTCACAGTTGCAAACACAAGAATAAAGATAATCTGTCAGGGATAACTCGTTATAATTTTTCCACTTTGGTGTGTAGGTGCAGGCGACTGGTGAAGCCGTAGTGCAGGGGTTCATGGGAGCTGCTGTCACAGTGAGTCTTTTGTCTCATGTTGATCATTTTATACATATCAAAAACCTACACTTAAAATACAATCTTGTTTACTGTATTGAGCCTAAATTAGTCTACTTAAACATATAGTTGTTCTGTTTTAAGTATGTTTGAATGAAAGTCTGCTGATAGGAATGACGTGTATGTAAATGTTGGACCCAACAGTGTGTGCACAGATACAGTCTCGGCAGGGTGTTGTGCATTCAGTAATTTGTTTTCACGTGAAAACTACAATTGTATCAAAGTGTGTCTTCAGGTGACGAAAGTTGTCCGTTTGGATAACTACAGTCATAAACCTGATGACAAGAAGGATGTATTTGTTTAGTTTTAGGTCTTGATAGATTTCATTATCAGAGTTCTGAATGAGAACACTTAAATGCCTCTCATTAAATTCTAGAAGAAGTTTGTTCTGATAAAGGATTTTTTTTTTAAGTTATCTCAGTTACTTTGATGCTCAAAAAAGTAGTTTTCCAGGACAAACCTGTTTTTCTTATAATATAGCCTTTGTCTGCTGGGGTCAACGTTTCTACTGTGGCCTTTACTGGAGAAACCAAAAGAAGCATCAAGTTTGAAAGGTTCCTGAAGATCTAAAATGCTTTAGTATTTTATTTTGTTAGTAAGAACGATTCAGCTGAAAAACTTCAACCATTTCTCTGGAAATGCTTCATCTGTCTGTTTATCATCATCTCAGGAGACACCTTTATGCAACTACCCAACCACATGATTGATTAGCATCTGTAAGCTGTCAAAGGATTTTAATTTCCTGCTTTACGCAATATTAAAGAGCAGCATAAAATATAACCCACTCATTTGGCTGTTAATGTGTGATGAAACCTTTTTTGATGAGAACAGTAACCTAATTTTTTCATATTTTACAGCTGAAGAACCTGACAGGACTGAACCAGAGGCGATGATGTAAACATATGTCATACTGGGCCTAAACATTTGGCTCATGAGCTGAAGATCAATTTATTTTGCTCTTTTTTTTTTGTTTTATTGTATGATGTGGCTCATAAACAAATAAATTATGGGGTGTAAGAATTAACAAACAACCTGATTTGTTAGATTGTCACTGCCTTTATGGTCATCTGCAGAATCATTGGCTTTCACCTATTTAGCTTTGCTGTTAAGGTTTTACCTATTAGATTTTTGTCTTGTAAAAAAGTATAATAAAATATGTAATTTGTTTGTGGCACTATATGACAATAAAATAGTTACTGTATATTTACGTATCTTTGATGTTTTTTTATTCGGTATGTTATTTATAAAACATTTTTTTTTTTACATACAAAAGTATAATGGTAAATAAAACTGAGCCTTTTGTTCATTCAACTTTTATAAGCCACGGGACTCATTTACAAGAGCTGTTTTTACAGGGCTACAACTATACTTTGTTAATTAACCATGAATCCTTTCTTTTATCTATCAATAAGTAGAGCAGAAGTGAATCAGATAAAAATCCTTCTTGCATTTTTTTTATTATTTTGGATTAAAATTAACATACTATAAAGTCTTTACATGAAACAAAAATATTTTCTTTATACTTGCAGGTTTGTAATTATTCGATAGTTCAAACTGTTAATTTGCTGTAATCTGTGCAGCTTCCGTCTAAATATAACCTTTGTAATGAAATATTCTTATATTATTGTAAGAATTTTTATTATTGTAGCAATTGATACAATATTATTATCATATTAGGCGCTTTTAGTTCGGTGGGAAAACATGACCCGGAAGTTAAAAATAAACCCCGCCTTCCATTGATTGTCTTAGCCAATCATTTGCTCCAGTTTAACCTTCTAGCCAATCAGCTCTAAAGGTTTCCGCACATGCGTACAAACGAAGCATCGACGGTAGTTGTGAAACGTTTGTCCGATTTCTCGTTGCTTTTAGGTTATATAAACTTCAAGAATGCCGTATGCTAACCAGCCGACAGTTAAAATAACAGAGCTGACGGATGAAAATGTGAAATTTGTCATAGAAAACACAGATTTGGCGTAAGTATGTTTATTTTCCCTTTCAAATGTGAGCAGTCATTAGCATCTAAACACTGATCCAAGTAATAACAAACAAAATAAAAAAAAACAAAAGTAAACGAGTAATTTGTTTCTTCTGCAATAAAAAAACAACAATTGGCAGTATTTTTTGGAATTAATGTAAATATTCTTTAAAAATACGTTAATGTATATTTCAGTGTAATATTGTGAGTATCAAACAAAACCTATAGTGTGCATGTTTTCCAACTATTTTAATGCATAGTAAAAACATTTAGCATTTTTAAACTAATCTAATCTGAACTGTATTGTTTTATTTCTGGTTTAAAATATTGTATTTATGCAGTGAAAGTTGTCAGCCAAGATCTAAAAGAGACAGATTGGATAAATTAGCATTCATTTTTATTTACTGATTTTCTACAATTTTGTTTCATTAATGAGTGAATGAGTTTTACATGTATAAAATTGTAATATTCTCATATGAGAAATTTGACATTGTGATATTTATTCCAACATTCATAAATAAAGAGTATTAATTGATTTGTGGTCACAGTACTACTAATAGTAATTGTTGCATTAACAACTTGGAATAGAATAATTCATGAACTTAATTAAGAGTCTATTAACAATTTAACTGAAAGTTTCTACAATGCACACGAACCAGAGCTGACTTTTTATATTAACATGCACTGAACACATTAATTCATAATAAATAAATAAAAAACATGTGGCAATAGCATCAAGCTTTAAAATTCCTCATTTTCTTTTATTTTAGGGTTGCAAATTCTCTCCGTCGTGTCTTCATGTCAGAGGTTCCCACAATAGGTAACTTTTTTATTATAGCTTTCATTATTTTCTTAATTTTGTTCATTGTAAGTGCTGAAAATTAACTTTTTTTTTTTTTACTTTGTTCTGTCACAGTTTTGTTTTTATGCTTCCTGACAATTTTGTGCTAAACATAAACAATAGTTCTGTAGTATTTATGTGTGAAATTTAACTTTTGACAACGAGCAAGCATGCATGAAAGAACCAAATTAATGTGAATCTTTTTAATTTGATTTTGAACTGAAGAAAACAGAAATTGGGACTAGCTGCAGCTGCATCACTGGAACTAAATTTGTATCCAGTTTCACTAAATGAACTTGTATAAATAACTCTTAAACTTGAAAAAAAAAAAATGCATTGCCTGTCTTTCCAGCAATTGACTGGATCCAGATTGATGCTAATTCATCTGTACTGCATGACGAGTTCATCGCCCACAGAGTCGGTATGTACCCCCATAACTCAGCCTGTTGGTTGCACAGTTTGTATGAGCAGACAGACACGAAGAACAGATTTATAACGTCTGTGTTTTTTGTGTTTTCAGGACTCATTCCCCTCACCAGCGACGAGATCGTGGATAAAATGCAGTACTCCAGAGTAAGTGAACAGTCACAGCAGAACCTGTTGGTGCTGCTTAGTGTGACAGTTCATGCCTCTTAAAAAAATATTTCTGCAGGTTAAAATGTTCAAACTGAACACAGGAGAGAATAAAAAGTTTCTACGTTTCTTATCTTTTCAGCTATAGACAGTAACATTAGTTTGATTCTGCTGATTGTTAACTTTAAACTGAAAGTGGTGCAGTGGAGGTTGTGTTGTTTCCTGCCGCAGCTGTTATGTCAGAGCATGTTAGCAAATATAAATTATTTTATTTTTGGCGTAAACCATCCTGATTATTCACTCAGCTCTATAGAAACCTCATTAAAATGCTGGTTTTCAGAAATGAACTTTTATTTATTTTTTTAATCGATTCTGTGGAATTTCTCTATTCTGATTGGCTCAGTGTGTTTTTTTTAATCCTGAGAACCTACTGCTTAGATTATAATCAAAATTACTTAACTAGGTCAGTGTGAAACTGACAGGATGCATCATTAGTTTGTGAAAATCTGTACTTTTATTTGACGTCTGTGAGATGGTCAGTCGTCCCCAACCTTCACATTGTCAAATTATATATTTACAGCTTTGATTTTAACTGTATATCTACTGACTTTTTAAATATGTTGGCAAATCCTGTTTACATTGTTAGTTTTTTTATTGAATATTTGTGGCCAGAAGTGAGTGGAGAAGAAACATTTCTTGTTTACTGGAGCATCATTGGTAGTATTAGGATTAGTTATCTGTCATATCCCCACATGGCATGAGTAAAAAAACAAAACAAAAACTTTTTAATTTGATTGTAAACTCCATAAAACATAAATTAATTATATTTATTTCCCGTTTCTTAGGCTACACAGGTGTAAATTAGCCAAACTTTAATTTTTAAACTGTTGACCAAAAGGACAAATCAGGAATAAAACAAAAAATAATAATTAAGAAGCTGAAAATGTCATTTTTCTATTACTTTCTAACTAATTTTGACCAACAGCCATTTCTGTAATCTGATCATCAAACCTTTCTGTCGTGATACCGAAATGTTCCTACCCATTTTGTTTTGGTCTACAGTTAGGCACTGTGGGGAAAAAAGTATTTAAATCATAAAAATTATCTTTAAAAAAAACCCTTTTAAGCTGAAGTTTGAACTACGTTTTTTTTAAGAGGCTTGGATGATCGTCCTCCAACAACATTCCTGATTTTCGCCCCACCCAGGCCAAACTGGACGTGCAACCACATTTCTTTGCAGATATTTCAAAATAAGGCATTCACTGGACAAGATGAATGGCAGTGTGTTCTTATTGTACATTCCTAAACAGAACCCTTTTCTTCTTTTTACATTTTCCACTTTAATTTAGTTAAAAAAAAAAAAAACTGTGAATATGTGATAAACATTGACGAGTGCAATAAATAACCACAGAAATACTCTACCAATGATCTAATCAAATTAGTATTAGCTAATTAGTGTTAGCTGTAGTTTATTTGTTCACACTGGTTTGTCTCCTGCAGGACTGTACCTGTGAGGACTTCTGTCCTGAGTGCTCTGTGGAGCTGACGCTGGACGTCCGGTGCACCGAGGATCAGACGCGTCACGTCACATCACGCGATCTGTTGTCCAACAACCCGAGAGTCATCCCGGTGAGTCTTTCCTCCCGTCACTGGAGTTGCACCGTGGAGCAGAGGGGGATTCTGACATTGTGTTGCTGTTTTCCAGGTGACCTCCAGGAGTCGAGACAATGATCCAAACGACTACGTCGAGCAAGATGGTAAAATTCAGGAGCTGTTTAAATCCTTTTCAAGTTCTTAATAAATAAAAAAATAGTCAATAAATTGTATTCATCTTTGTTGCTGCGTCATTTCTCCAGACATTTTGCTGGTGAAGCTTCGTAAAGGCCAGGAGCTCCGGCTCAGAGCTTATGCAAAGAAAGGTTTTGGTAAAGAGCACGCCAAGTGGAACCCAACAGCGGGGGTGTCCTTCGAGTACGACCCAGACAACGCTCTGAGACACACAGTCTATCCACGACCTGAGGAATGGTAAGTCTTTACTAAATTAAGATTCACCGTGAAATAAGAACACTGAACGAGTGAATGGTGCTTTTTTTTTAAATTTTTTTATTCTCAGGCCAAAGAGTGAATACACAGAGATCGAGGAGGATGAAGTTCAGGCCCCCTACGACCCAAATGGAAAACCAGAAAGGTGAGCAAATGATCCTCCATTATGAGATCATCAAGTGAATGCTGACTCAGCAGTCAACGTTTCTGTCTTCCTGTTTATCGTTTATTTTTTCAGCATCCAATTATTTCAGCATCCAATTATTTCAGCGTACTTTCAGCAGTTTCAACCATTCGGCTCATTCAGGCGATGGACACTTATGACTTTTACTAATTACAACTTTTGAACTTTTTAAAATATTCAACGTCAAATAAACTTTTTGGTTCTAATAAAATGAATGGGGATTTTTAATTCAAACTAATTTTAGCTTTTGAGGTTAATTTTAGATTTTGGATGCTGTTTTGCTGGTTTTCGTTTTTAACTGCTGTTTCCTTGGCTTTAGCTTTTAGCTACAGTTTGGCTAATTTTAGGTTCTGTTTTAAATTTGATAGTTCAGTATCAGCATCTGCAATACGTTTCAGCAAAGCCATTTAGCACTCACCTTGCATTTTCAAAGAAAATATAAAATGTTTTATCGTTGTACCATAAACTGTTTCTATTTAACAATGTTTGTTTTATCTTTTTTATGCTCTTATAAGTAACATTAGGAGAGTTGAATGAGGTGCAGGTGTGTCACCTTGTGATTTCTCATAAACTCAGTAATGCTCAGTAATTTATTTATTTATTTTCTCACTTGCCCTCGACGAAGATGGATGCTTTTCTTCCCTGTCCTACTTTCCTCCTTTTGCTCTTTGTCCTGTGTATCAGAGCCTCTCATTACACATCTTCTGAATCATAAATTATTATTATGGATCTAGTCAGCTGGTCTCTCAGTGCAATTGATAAGAAAAAATTTGACCAAGAGACATGGTGCTGGAGAGCCCTCATGCCCTGAACGGACGCACGCAGCTGGATATGGATTCCTGGAAGCAGTGGAAGATAATGTGCCTGTCTGTACTGTCCGTGGAGGACGTAGAAGATGTGTACATTATTAGATTTATGATAACAGGGTTTATGCTTTTTGGAATTGGCTGATACCTAGGATATCAACAAATTACGAAGATGTCGGCAGCAGTTTCGTCCATGGTAAAGCTGCCAACCTTATGTGAAGGATGAATTTGTTCTTCGAGCTCTCAAGCTCATATGCTTTGCGAGCTCAACCGTAAGCTGGATGCAATTTCTGAGAATCGTAGGCCACTTGCGGTTCCTGGAACTCGCCAGCATGAAGGATTCAGCCTTGGAGAAGACTAACAAAGCACAGACCGGCAGAATGTCCACAAATCCGGCTGTTTGGATTCGCCATCGAGAGTACCAGCAGAACTGAAGGCAGACGGAAATCAAGTCTTCCTGCCCAAAACAATTGTTGTTTATCTGAATCTGGCCTCCCAACTTGGCCTTGGAAAGGCTTATTGTGATTCTGATTCTTAGTTTTTTTTTAATTATTGATCTTTTATTTACTTATCTAGTCATTGCTGTCTGAAATACTGATTAAAACAGATTTGTAAAGATATATTGTAACTAAATTAGGTTTCAAATTTAATTGTAGGAGGGTTTTGAGGTCTCGGGCTGGTGAACAGTTTTCTCAGTTTGACAGAAACCTTAAAATCATCTCATGTCCAGGTTCTATTTCAACGTGGAGTCGTGCGGCTCTCTCCGACCGGAGACCATCGTCATGTCGGCATTGGCGGTCCTCAAGAAGAAGCTGAGCGACCTGCAGACCCAGCTGAGCCACGAGATCCAGAGTGACGTTCTCACCATCAACTAATGGAACACAGCACAACTCTGTTGAGGAGACGTCAGTGGTCTCAGGCTCACTGTTCAGGTTGAGCTGCTCCCTCCCTGCTGGCTGTACTCAGATCTGTTATCATTTTCCTCATCCACAGTTTTCAGTCTCATCACCAGAGCTGTGAAGTTATATCAGTGATTATTGCAACAAAAGCTGAAAATATTATGCAGGGTTACTGTTTCAGCAGGAGTTCCTGTAGCATTGATATAAAAATGTGTTATTGAAGTTAGGTTCATATACTTCACTGTTAAATATATTTTCATCTGTCCTTTTTTAATAAATCCTTTAGAAGTTTTTTTTTTTTGTTTTAATTTTTCTCAGCAGATTATAAGACTTTTTTTGCCTAAATGTTGCATGAACTGAACTAAGGGATTTTATTACAAAATAAAAACTGCAGGCTTTAACTAATAGTTATATGAATTAATATCTTCTGTTTTCGAAGAAGGAGCATTGTGTTTTTTTTTTCAGGTAAAGCATTAAAAAGCATCTTAATCAAGTTTAATGATGAACACTTTGCCTTATAAAAGTAGTTTTGACTGCATAAGAGGAAAAGTTGCACTTTACAAACAAAAATTGCATAATCATAGATGAGCAGTAAATGGTTCATTTATAAAAAAAATAATAATAATAACTCTAAAAAAGTTAAATCTGGTCCTCTGGACATTCAAAAAAACAAAACAAAGCAAAGCTGATGGTCCTTCTTGAGCATGTGATCAGCTGGTTTTGGTTGTCAGCAGCAAAACTGGTTGATCCACTCTGAGAAGGTGCTATTTAAGAGACTGAGCTGAAAACAGCACCTCAGACTGAAGAAGTCTCTCGGACGAGAGACGAAACGTTTCTACATTTTTTGTTGTTTTGCTTTGTTTTGTTTTTTTGAATGTCCAGAGGACCAGATTTAACTTTTTTAGATTTTTCTACCTGGATTATTGAGCATGCATCAGGAAATAATAATAACTATAAAAACATGTTTATTTGCAATTCAAATAAAATGGTCCAATAAAACTAGATCAGGCAATGCATGCTCATACTTCATCCATTTTGAAATAGTTTTAAGTCTAATGTTTTAGTTTATAGTAGCTCGGTGTAGTTGCACTATATTCTCATTCATTCATTAAAACTTTATACAGGTTAATCCCAGTGAACCTTGGGGACTCATTTACAAGAGATACCTGATTTTAACAAAGAATGATAACAACAGTAGACAATCATAAAAAGCATACAAATTGAGAAGAACAAATAAAAGAATATGGTATTTTAAAAATGAAACAAAACGGTTGTAAGGCGATGTAGAAAACTAAACACGGGAACATTGGTTTTTGCCAGGAACTTAACAGATGTTTGAAGCCACTTGGAGAGGTCAAGGTTGAGAGCTTCAGATCTTTTTGCAAGATATTCCAGGAAACAGGAGCGGAGTAGGAGAAGGCCCTTTTGCCAAGTTCAGTCCGCACTGAGGGAACACTGCATGTAATAATGTCCTTAGAGTGCACGCTGTAGCTGCACTCACACAGTGACATGTAGGAAGAGATGTATGAATACAGCCGACCAAGAAGTGATTTAAAGATGAAAATGTACCAGTGAGAGAGTGTGTGAAGTTAATGATGACTAGTTAACCAGTGAATACAGGGTACAGAGGTGTGTACGGTAGTTACAGCCAGTTGTAGCACACCATGATAGCGTCCAACATCTGCAAGGTGCTTGTAGGAGCGTTTATGTAAATAATGTCACCATGGTCAACGGAGGGAAGGAAAGTCGCAGTTACAAGGTGTTTCCTAGCGTTCAGAGTTAGACAGGATCTGTTTCTGAAAAAGAAACTCAGTTTAACTTTTAGTTTCTTTAAGTTTTCCACGTGGAGCTTAAAAGAGAGATGCAAATCGACCAAGATACCCAAATATTTGTAGGAATCGACAAACTCAATAGGGGCACCATACGAGGATAAAATCGAAGGAAGAATTACTGTGACCGACTTCCTGTTTGAAAACAACCTCCCTTTGGTTTTGTTGGTGTTTAGGACAAGTTGAGTCAGAACAAATCAGACTGGATGATGTCAAAAGTGGTTTGCAAAAGCTGAAAAACACTGTTTTAGCTCGACAATAAACAACTACCATCAGCATAGAAATGTAAGGATGCATCAGGGATGGTAACCATTACCTATGTAGATTGTGAAGAGGGTGGGACCTAAGACTGAGCCTTGATGTACACCGTTGTTAACGGTTAAATAACTGGAAGAAATACCATTATGTTGAACACATTGTCTCCAAGCTGAGAGATAGTTTGTGAACCAACAATCTGAGAAATCAGTTTCTGAGATTTTATGACAAGATGTCGTGGTCAGTGTCAAAAGCTTTAGACAGGTCTAAGTAAAGTGCAGCACAACAATCCTTAGCATCCATTGCTTCAACAACAACATTAAAAACCTTCAGCGAAGCAGTCGTTGTGCTGTTTCCTGAAACCAGATTGATGGGGAGAATGTTAAATGAGACCAAATACTTTTTGATTTGAGAATTTATCAGTTTTTCTAGAACCTTAGCTAAAATGCAGAGTTTAGAGACTGGTCGAGTGAGGTGGGGTCACCTCCTTTCAGCAAAGGTAGAACAGGCTGTTTTTCAAGCGTCTGGAATGTAATTTTGTCTTATGGACAGGTTAAAGATGAGGCACCAGTTCTACAATGATATGAGTGGCAGCCTTAAGCAATAAGGTTGACATCAAGGCCTGCAGATATTTTAGAGTCGTAACAATTTATTAACCTCTCTAACTGGAAACGTTGAAAGTGAAAAGGTCTGGTTTACTGATTATTTTTTTTCCTTTAACCTTTATTTAGACATGTAAATCCCATTGAGCCTCGAGGACTCATTTACAAGAGAGACCTGATTTCAACAAAGAATGATGACAACAACAACAGCGACAACAATAGACAGTTATAAAAAGTCATACAGATTTTTTTTTTAACAAATAGGATGGCTAAAGAAAAGAAAGGTAACAAAAAACAGCTAAAATTGACTAAAAAAAATTAAATTTAAAACTTTATTAAAATTGATGATTGACCTGTAGGAGAGAACTGATTTGTAGATGTTTGGCTTAAAGGAGAAGTTGCTGCTGATGTGAGAAGTCATTGTTGCTGTTTCTGTCTTAAGTAAAATAAGGGAAGTTTAGATTGTGTAGGAAACATTTTATCTGCAGTACAAGGCTTCTAAACATAAAGACAAATTTCTAAAATTCAAATAAGTTTATATTATTGAAATTAAGCTTTTTAGTGGCCTGATGTTTAATAGTAATTTACAGTATTTTTAAGTTATGTTTTTTTTTATATAAAAAAAATACAAACATAAATCTAACTTAAAATTGAATTAAGCAACAATAGTTGTATACCAAAAATAGTCTTGAAATGAAATGAAATTTGGAGGTAAACGTGAACCTGACAGACACTCTGCTGAGGTTCCATCAGCTTGTGACCATACCAACACGAGGAAATAACACTAAACCGTGTTTATACCAACATATGACGCATAGAGCCTCCACATCAACCTTTCTGACCATGTCTGCATTTTTCTGGCCCCTGTCTACCACCCCTCGTTGAGATGTTCCAGACCTACGCAGTAGACCATCACTGTGTGGCCCAGCAATGGTGACCACTGTAGAATGCACAGACTGGCAGATCTTCAGGGAGGCTGCTGTGGGGGAACTGGATTTGGGGGATTACACATCTGCTGTTCTTGGATATATCAGCAACTGTGTTGAAGATGTCACCACCACCAAGACTATGACGTGCTACCCGAACCAGAAACCCTGGCTGAACACAGAGGTCCGTAGTCTGCTGAATGCCAGGAATGTCAGGTGTCTACACTGGTCCTGTTAGACTTCAGTGCTGCATTTTATACAGTTGATCACAACTCTAGAGGCTTGAATATGATATTGGAATTACAGGAATGACTCTAAATTGGTTTAAATCATATTTATGTGATAGATTCCAATTTGTAATAATCTTCATCATACACCAAAGTTAGTCATGGAGTTCCTCAAGGGTCAGCGCTTGGACATATACTCTTTACCTTGTATATGCTTCCATTAGGTAATGTTCTTAAACAGCATGTGATAAATTTTAATTGATGCTGATGATACACAGTTATATTTCTCCATGAAACCTAATTAATCCAATCAGCTACTTAGACTTCAAGTATGTCTTATAAAACCTGGATGACCCTAAATTTTCTTCTTTTGAATACAGACAAGACTGGGGTTTTACGATAGTTTTTGGACCTGAGCATCTTAAGAATTAATTTTTAAATCTTTCGCCCTCCTTGGATGGCATTAATTTAGCCTTCAGCTCTAATGTTAAAAATCTTGGTGTTATTTTTGATCAGGACATGTCTTTTATCCCCCACATTAAAAACGTTACTAGAACCGCCTTCTTCCACCTGCGTAATATCGCTAAAATTAGAAACATCTTATCTAAAAATGATGCAGAAAAACTGGTTCATGCATTTGTCCTGTCTAGACTGGACTATTGCAATGGTTTATTATCTGGGTGTCCACATACTTCTTTAAAAAGTTTTAATTTAATCCAAAATGCTGCTGCTATTTAGGGGAGATCATATCACTCCAGTTTTATTTTCTCTCCATTGGCTCCCTGTCAAATCCAGAATTGAATTCAAAATCTTACGTCTAACCTACAAAGCCCTGAACAACCTAGCTCCATCTTATATTCGAGCTCTTGTTGTTCCATATTTTTCTAACAGAGCACTTCACTCTCAGACTAAAGGCTTACTCGCAGTTCCTAGAGTTTCCAAAAGCAGAATGGGAGGAAGATCTTTCAGTTATCAGGCTCCTCTCTTGTGGAACCAACTTCCAATTTCTGTCCATGAGGCTGACACATTGTCCAGTTTTAAGACTGGACTTAAGACTCCTTTTTGATAAATCCTATAATTAGGGTTGTTATGATGCCTTAAGCTTAGAATACTTGAGGTCAAATTGACCTTATTTCCTTAAATGAATTGCTAAAATTGAATAGTTTTCATTGATACTATTTCAATCTTAACAGGATGCTTGACATGCCATTGTGTATCTGTTCCTCCTTCCTATTCCTCTCAAACCCAGCTGGTTGAAGCAGATGGCCACATGTCCTGAGCCTGGTTCTGCTAAAGGTTTCTTCCTCATGAGGGAGTTTTTCATTTCCACTGTCACCTTCATGCTTGCTCAAGATGAGAGTTCTGCAATGGAGTTAAACTCAAAGCAGTCTGCTCCTCAGATAAATACTGTTAAATTGTTATTTTTATATATGAATGTTTCTGTTCAGTGCCCTGAGATGACTTTTGTTGTGACTTGGCACTAAACAAATAAAATAAATAGAATTGGATGCTGTATTCAGGTCTGGCAACTCACAGGAACTATGGAGGGCA